AGTGTTCGTGTGCAAGTGAAGGTGAAAAAGTGTTCGTGTGCAAGTGAAGGTGATAAAAAGGTGCATGTGTGCAAATGAGACAAAAGTGAAAGTGGAACGATAGAGTGGATTGAGAGTGCATGAGCCTAGGGAATTCATGCATATTGGGTACGGGGAGACCTAAATCGTGACTTGATTTTTCCTTTGATAGAGGGAATATAAGCGTGCTAAGGATTAGAAAAAGCCACACTCGTCTATATCCCATATTTAAGGGGACTCTCACGCAAATGTACCCTATAACTAGTATGAGATGCAAAAATCCTAAAATGAGGGGAAAAGGGGCTCGAGGAGTATGCCAGATGATAAAACTAAGGAAAAATGCATGATATGTAGTGAACAAACAAATGATGTGCTAACGAGGGGAAATCCCTAAGGGTCTAGCGTTGGACTAGCCCATTCTATGAATTCCGACTAGCGTTGGACTAGCGGAAACGTACATTCATCCATTCCATTCATTCATGGCTATGAAAGCAAGTAGACATGCCAAAATACTCGTAAACACATAGCACATAGCATTTAGCATGCTCGACTAGATGCAAGAGCCTACCAAAGCAATTAAACATGTAGCAACAAAGACAAGCAACCAGGGGGAAGGGGAAGTGGACCAGATGCTCTCCGAGCCCTATCTATTACAAGCCAAGAGGTGTACACATACCCCATAAAATTTAAATAAAAGCAACCAAGGGGAAGGGGAAATGGACCAAATGCTCTCCGAGCCCTATCTATTACAAGCCAAGAGGTGTACACATACCCCATAAAACTTAAATAAAAGTAAAAGCAAGCAAATGCACGCAAGGAGGTAAGGAAAGCGGAGTAGGCATGCATTTCTCACGTAGCACGTTGGTTCACATAGGAGAGACAAAAAAGATAAAAGAAGTGGTACCTCCCTTGAGTTGGAGCTCTAACGTAGTGGAATTACTAATTTACCCTCCAAAATAATAAAAAGGTCAAGGTACCAATTTATTTAAGAAAAATTAAAAGAAATGTGCAAAGCAAAGCTCACTTGACCATAAAGTCCACAAAGTCATGACTTAAGTGAAAATTGAAACAAAGTATAGTAATTAATCAAAACAAACAAGCAATGAAGTTGCAAAAGTTAAAGCTACCAAGGACCAAATTGAGAAATTATTCAAATGGTTGGGCCATAGTGAAACAAAAGGGAACTTGGGGGGTCAAAGTGTAATTTTCAGAAGGTTTTTCATGCAGTTCATGCAACCCAACGTAAAGAAAATATTCTGCAACAAAGCAAACCAACTTGCTGCACCTTTGTACTAAATTCAGACTTGCTCACGTATTTGAACCCAAAGCACTCTTGACCCACTTTCAAATTTGAAACTAAACAACACCCAAAACAAGAACTTGACATCCGAATCAAAGGAAGAAATCATGCAAACATAAAAAATTCCAGCACGAAGGCACGAAGAAACTTTTTGCATTTTTCTGTTTTCCTTCACTCCACGGCATGCGGCATTTGACAAACCAATTGAACATGTTCCAGAAAAATATCAACTTTTGATTCAAGACACAATACACAATCCATGTTTATGGCCTACGTTTATTGCTGCAACAAACCAGAAATCCTTCCCACAACCTTCAACTAAGTTCTGAATTTGTGATAGTCAAGTTGTGCATGAACTAGGCACTAGACACAAAAACAGCAAAGGAGCAAAAACAGAATTTTCTGTATTGATGGCAGTCATCACAGTCACAAGGTTACAGGTGTAAATGGCATAACAACAACCCATTGGTGGACTATTAAGGGAAGCAAAAAAAAAAAAAACATGAAATTAACGCAGCTTTCATGCAAACGAAAGTGAGAAAAGTTCCTGCAATTTTTCCAGCCATGCTTCTTGCAATTCTTGTATTCATTCTAATGCCATTTTCCATCCAAACCAAGCTAATATTTTTACCCAAACTGCAAAACCTCGATTCCAAAACAACAAAAACACAACAGTCAATGTCCGAAACAGACCAAGAAAGGAAAAGAGAAACGTATGAATGGGAGTAGGCGATTTTTCTGGAAAATTTTCTACTGTTGCCTCCTTGAACAGCAATGCATCAGTTTTTTCAAGACACGCACAAGCCATCTAAAAATGATGAAATGTGCGCTGCATATTGAAGAAAAAGAAAGCAACAAACAATGGACAATCACAGCAACAACCAATGAAACATACATTTGTCTCTACCTCACTATCAATGCAACCATAAAAAACAGCAAAAGCAGCGTGAGGACTTGCAACAAGCAGGTATTCATTTTCCAGCGAGGATCAAACCATGATTCAAGTGTTTAAGGACTCAAACAAATTTTACTAATTTGACAGCCCAAATCGAAATGCAAGGATTTCAACTCATTGTCATTAACATCACCCAAATGTAAAGGTTTGTTTCCCGGACATTCTAAGAAGAAAACTGAACACAAAAATGCAGCAAAGGGCCTGAGCTTGAATCAGCTAATGTTTCGGCATTTACTTGGCAATGTCTTCGGCTATAACGAACCAGAAAGCTTGCAAAAAGCAACAAAAGAAAGCTTAAAACAAAGCTAAGCATTCTATACAATTAACACAAAGCTGATTATGCAAACCAAGAGAACTATATCCAGGAGGGTCCAACAGCTTTCTAAAAACTATATCAAACATTCGAACCTGTTCTCCTATAGCTTTGGACCAAAACACATAATTGTCAAACACTCCATGGTTCTAAACTTCCCATTCCAGATTCATAAGAAATGAAAGCATGGCCATGAACTTCCCCCCCCGATGACTGAGCTTCACTATCAATTAAGTATATCAACAACAACACCAAAAGCTGGACGGACCCAAGACCACGAAACCCAAAACCTGAACACAATCCATCATTTTAAACATGTGCAATTGCGGTAGAAGCTTTAAGCCAAATAGCACAGCAAAGAGGGCAAGAAGATGCGGCAATCAATATGGTGAAGAACTGTTACATACTTGACCCTGTATACTAGGAAAAACAGCTCGAGAACTACCTCAGCTACCCCAGGATTTGTTACCAAATCCGCTGTTGGCAATGACGGTTGTTGGGCAGTGGCAATGGCGAGGAGTTGAGGTGGTGGAGTCGGCTGCAGTAGAACGCTAGCTCGGTGAAGACCTGCCTGTGATGATGGAGTCAGCGACAATGGAACGAAAGCAGCAACAACAACAGCAACGCCACCAACTTCTTCCTGCCCGGCGCTTCTCTCTTTTCCAAAACTCCAGCCACCGTTCAGTGCTCTGGTCTCTCTCTATTGCTCTCGATTCTTTCCCAGCCGTCACTCACCTCAGCCTCTCAATCTTAACCCTATCTCTTCCAACCTCACTTCCCTTTCAACCAGAAAACTCTCGCTCACTCCCAGCTCTTTTCTATCGAGCCCGTAGGTTTCTTTCCCTCCATCCTTTCCTCACTCTCGGTCCTCTCTTTGCTTTCTCCCTGAAGTTTCTTTCAATCTTTTTCTCCCTGATGTAGCCGCAACTCCCTAATCTCTCTTTTGCTCCCCCCTGGTTGTCTTTTTGTTCTAGCCGTTACCCACCTCAAAACTCTCCTCCCTCTGCTGTTTTCTTCTCACAGCCGTTCCAACTCTCCTCCCCCCAAGCTCTTCCCAGTTCTTCTCTCAAGCTCCCTGCCATCAACTATGCTTAGCTCCTTCTCCCCAAAGCCCGCAGCCTTTCTTTCTTTTTCCTTTGCTGTTTTTTCTCCCCCTAACCGAGCTCTCTCCCCCTGCGGCTACTTCTTGTTTTTCTATTTATATGGGGGCCAAAAAAAACCCTAAGCTCTCGCCAATCTCTACTATATTTGCAGCCAAAGGGCTCCTGAGCCCTTACTTGCAAGCTGCGGACGAACGCAGCTTGCATGAAATTATTCCCCCTTTTTTTTCTTTTTTTTTTTTAACACAACTTAATAACTACAGAAATGATAAAATAAAATATAAATAATAATAATAACAAAATTACAAAAACCAGGTAATAATAATAATGACAAAACAAAAAATAATTTTAAACAAAAAACTAACAACAATGGCCATTTTTAATTTTTTCAATTTTTCATTTTTCATCATCTTCTTTTTCTCAAAATAACTTAATAAAAGTAACTAAAGTGCCCAAAGATTGAATTTAAAGAAATAAACATATTTTTGTGAACAAATTTTCCTTTTTTCTTTTTCCACTTTTTTCATTTTTCCTTTTTTAAATAATTTTAGCAAAATGATAATAAAATTAAGTAAAAACCAACAATTTAAATAACATCAGATAAAAATAAATAAACAAACCAGAAATAATAAACAGCAAAGTTGCAATCTTTAGTTCCATCATTATTCTCTTTTTTCTTTTTCCATTTTCATTTTTTCATTTTTTCATTTTTTCCAAGAAAACATTGAATTTAAATCAAAACAATTAAAACATATTTTTTGAATGCTTTTCCTTTTCTTTTTCGAGAAATTCTATGCTAAAAACTTAAAAATAATAACAATAACACGAAAAATTAAAAAAAACTAAAAACTAAAAAGTGAATAAAATTAACAAACTGAAAACACTAAAATTTTGGTGTCTACAACGGCCGGAAAAATTAAAAAAAAAAATTCTGCATTCTCTGACCGTGGCTTCTTTATGGCGTGACGGCCAGAAAGCTTTTTTTAAAAAAATTGCCCATCATGCCATCAATATTGATACCAATTAGCCAAGCCACCATATTTGATCGACTTTTTTGTCATCTAACAATATTCTGATCAATTAACCCAGTTTTCCATGAAATAGTTCATTCTATATTCTTGGTTTCTTTTTTTTCTTACTTTGCTTTCATAAATCCTCATTTCTTGTTTCCTTTCAAATTTTCCTTCAATTTCTTTCATCAAAATAATTCCTACAAATATATGTTCTTTTGGTTGCAAAACATGCCTTAATCACTAGTAATTCGTAATTATAGCGTCAATCGTTGCCCGACTGTAATTTTTTACCCGACCAAGTTTTCGGGTAACCAAGTCACTAAACCGGCTGGGTTTTGAATTGAAACCCTGGAAACTTGGATGAATGCCTAAATTTGCTCCTCTCCCAGATCCTTCATTTACGTTCTCCTACTAAAGAAAAGAATATAAAACATCGGAAAAAATGAAGGCTGCGACGAGGGTGATCTTGCTACTTAAGGACGGCGCCGACGACGGCGGCTTCGCTTCTTCAATCTCAAATGCTCTCCAACCAAACCCTAACTCTAATCTCCGAAGATTGTAAGTTAAACATCAAATAACTTAATCTTTGTACAAGAGAGTGAGTGAGTGTGTGTGTGTGTGTGTGTGTGTTTTTTTTTAATCCACATTTTTTTTTATTTTGGGATGATATTTCTTGTGATAGGGAAGAGTCATTTGAGCTGTCGCTGGAAAAGTATGGAATCAAAGATCATAAAGCTTCTGGAAATATGATTCACTTTCTCAATAGTAATGGAGTATCTGAGGTATTATTCTGTATTATAGTGTTTCCTTCTTCTTTTTTTTTTTTCCTATTTTAGTTTGTTTTTTGATTTATTATTTGTGGGAAATTTAAAAAATATTGCAGCCATAAATTTTCCTTTTTTTTTGTTGTTTTATCACTGCATGGATTGAATGCTGAATTAATCAGTGTGCGGCGTGGGATTTTAGGGATTCAAAATTAAATGTAATGCATTTTCTATTAGCTTAAGATGTGTGTAGTTGTATTGTTTTGAGGGATTTGTGGATTTGTTGAAGTTTTTCTAGGCTAATTTTAAGGTGGTCCTAAGCTAATTTATTGTTCCATTGGCAGAAATTCACTGCTTAAAAGAAAAAGAAAACAGCAAATAAGAGATGGTAAATGAATTTTAATCAAATATGTGCACTTTGAAATTGTGCTGTTGTTGAGTTTTTCCAGGGCCCTTTCCAGTTTCAGCCTCTGTAGTTCTCAATTCTCTTTGTTCATTAATTCTCTACTTGCAGAAAGCCGGTGTTAATAAGATCCTTGTACTGGACATGTGCAATTTGAGAACACTATCATAATTGCCTGTAGTAGATGCATTTCACTGCTGCCCATTCATGTATTACACATATCATAATGGAAACTTATGATGTAACACTACTAATTCGTTTCCAGCAAAGAAGTCGAAGAGCTGTTAGTCCAGAATAGGAACCTGAGCGATACTTGAAGGAAGCCAATGTACCTCCACCTCTTGTGTTTACCTCTAGGAATTTCTGTTGGCGTGGTGAGCATGTTTTGATTTCTGTCACTGTGTCTGTGCATTTGCGTGGTTTTTGCTGGACTCTCTTCTAGTCTGATTTGGAAAGGACAAATTTGAAGGCGTGATACAAACTTCAAAACTTTGAGGGAAGGCTAGCGATGCCAGCAGCTTCATACAGGTTTCAGGTCTGTTCTCTTTCCCTCAAGGCGGGACAAAAGAAGTGAGAGATGGGGTTTTCATGATGGCTGGATGGGAGAATGGTGATTTGAGGTTCTAGGTTTCAAGGAGGGCAGGCAGGCTGGAAAGGAAGAGTTGTCATGCTGGACAGGACGGAGGAAGGAGATAAGGTGGTTTCAGCATTTACAAAGAAAAGTTGGGTTGGGATGTCGGTAGTGAGAGGAGAAAGAAGTAGCAGCTAGTTTGTGGAGGTTGGAATCTGGGGTGTCCTTGGTTGCATTGCACTTCTCTTATAGTGTAGAAAAAAAGAAGGATGGTAGGAGGCAACCTATATTACTTGGACCCAAGTGTGGTAGCGGATACATGTGTTTAGGTGTCATATTCGTTAGTTTTCTAAACTAGGACACCATGCCAATCCTATGGGGTGTGGGTGTGGGGGTGCCTCCTGTATGTGTATGTGTGTGTGTGTGTGTGTGTGTGTGTGTGAATATTTTCTTAATATTGCACTGGGAAAAAAGATATAAGAGAAGGAAGGATAGGGAGTATACATCACAGTTAGAACCAAAATCTGTTGGATGCACCAATATTGGTTCCAATATAAGCATTGCATACTTTCTCCCTCTGTTTTTCTTCTGATTTCATTAACTTCGAGGTGTCCAAAACTTCTAAGAAATGTTGGCCACAGATCCCATGCTATCTGATATGGTAAGACTAGGAAGGATATGGGTCCAAGTAAAACAGAGGAGGTTGCTCAGTGTAGTAGCAGCTGCGGATTGGCAGCCAGTTGGACTTCTAGAAAATGGGCTGGGATGAAGGAGAAGAAGGTGCCTTATGTGATATTGTTTAATGGAAGAGTATTGCTTAGTCTCAATATATGTATCAAATTTAGGTGAACGACATTAGATACACATTCCTATGCAGACATTTTGTTTGAAATAGGGAGCTAGCATTACCCTTCTTTTTCATAAGGCTTAACGTCTTTGATGACTTCCTTGGTTTTCAGTTGCTTCCAAGTTTTGCCACAGCTTAATGTATCACTGGTGTTTTACTGCTGAAAGTTGTTTAGATAACGTGGTTGAATATATTTTTTCAATATTCTCTTTGTTCTAGTTTTGCATATTTGTGATTGTGTCTTTAAAAACTTTACCTGAAACATGCAACACTTATTGAGTTGACCTATTCAAGGTGCATTCCCTGTTGTTTCTTGTACTTAGGTCTAATGGTATGTTTTATGTTCTTTAGGTGTCTGTCTTACTTCTGGAACATATCGAGCCTCCACTTTTAGCTTGTGCTTTGAATGAAGTTCTGGTATCATTTCTGGGAGGGACCTCATCAGACATCCCCAATCTCGTAGTTCCGTTTCTTGTGGAGGCATCAAAGCTTAAACTGGAGAATAAGAATGCTATCTCAAGTTATGAAGTTTCTCTTCGTGTGCAAGTGAAGAAACATAAAGGTGCACGTGTGCAAAATGGGAGGAAAATGAAAGTGTGATGAGGGTATAAAATGGTAGAATGGATTTAAAAATGCATGAACCTAGGGAATTCATGCATATTGGGTACGGGGAGACCTAAATCGTGACTCAATTTGCCCTTTTATAGAGGGAATACAAGCGTGCTAAGGCTTAGAAAAAGCCACACTCGTCTATATCCCATATTTAAGGGGACTCTCAAGCAAATGAACCCTATAACTAGCATGAAATGCAAAAATCCTAAAATGGAGGGAAAAGGGGTTCGAGAGGCATGCAAAATGATAAAACTAAAAAGAATGCATGACATGTAATGAACATGCAAACATGTACTAACGAGGGGAAATCCCTAAGGGTCTAGCGTTGGACTATCCCATTCTATGAATTCCGACTAGCGTTGGACTAGTGGAAACGTACATTCATCCATCACATTCATTCAAGGCTATGGAAAGCGAGTAGATATGCCAAACATGTGAGAGCCCGTAAAACTCTAATATTTTTCCTAGGGTTTATTCCCCCTTAATTGCATGTTTTTGCATTTTCTGGCTTAGAAATATTTTCTGAGAGGATTTTATGAGCAATTATATTTTTAAGATGATTTTTCTAGTATTGGAGAGTTTTTAGAAAATTAAGGATAAATAGTGGACGTGGGACCCACTAGTGCGAAAAGTTCGGGAAAATTCGGCCAATAAGGTTAAGTTTTGGATACTGTGTATATTTATCGGGTGTTAAGAGATAAGTAGAGTATATGAAGTGATTGATGTGAGAGAAAAAGAATGATAAGATTGCATTTAATAGAGTGACACATGTCACTTTCTTATTGGATACCTTTTAAGAATCACTATTCACCTTTTGACATTTTTTTGACCTTTTGACCCAAAGGTTAAATATCTCAAAATTCATCAAATTTCCTCATTTTTCTTCCCCTTTGGCCGGCTCTCTCTCTCACTCTTGCAAGAAGGAGAACTTCTTCAATCTTCAAGTTTCTACTAGCAAATCATCTCAAGCAAGGCCATAAACAAGATTTCACTCCATAAAAACTTTCCTTCTAGTGTTAGTAAGTTGTTTGGTGAACTTTGTTTGAAAGACTAAGGTGCTCCACATCATCCTCTCTCTTGGTTCTTGGTAAGTGAAGCTTGAAACACCCTACTACCTCTAATGATGCTTATTTTGTGCTTAATGGAGGCATGAGAGAAGTAATATGTGATTTGTTTCTTGATTTGGTTTGTTTTGGTGAAGTTTTCCATTTTATGATGATTTTTCTGGTTTAATATGATCTTGATGCTGGGGGCTTGTATGATGAATTGTAATGGTTGGAAATGGCTCTAGTGGATGTGAAATGTGGTTAAATGCAATCAATTTTGGATTTGGTGTGAAATTTGAAAAGTTAGGGTTCTTGAACCCCCAATTCTGTCCGGTTTTAGATCACTAGGTTAGAGGCCGAATTAGACTTTGCTCAAAACATGAAAGTTGTAGGTATTGACGTGATTGAGATGCCTGTAAAATTGCAGGTCATTTGGACTAATTTAGAATGAGTTATGACGAAATTACTGTAGCTGTTCTGCTTTGGGCAGAATGCGAAAACTGTGATAGTAATTGGCCATTTTGACTGGAATTGGTTTGGCTTTTGAAGTTGGTGTCTTCTGATGAAATGTAGCTGAATGTCTTAGCTAACATATACCTTTGGAATTTCGGCATTTAGACTTGTATGGACTGAGATATACCGATTACAGTTTTCTGCGTTTTGCAAACCTGTTTTGGGAATTCTGGGATAGTATTTGGCATTTTCGACCTAGTTAAGCCAGGAACTGGATTGAGTGACCTTCTACTTTGTTGTAGCCCTGTTTCATAGCTTGGAAATGGTGGGTCTTACACCCCCAACCAATAATTGTAGTGAGAGTTGTGCCATTACCGCATTATGACGTCAAAACCGGTTTTCTTATCAAGGCTTAAGTTAAGCCCTTTCTTAATTTCTCGTTTGCTATCATGCTTACTTATGCATGTGAAACCCTTTTTGGGGTTGTGTTTAGCATTGCTATATGACTCGTTATCGAGTCTCATTGCATTTGTTGCGTGATTCTAGGGCGTGACGGTAGTGCACGACGGCTTGGTGATCGTGGTACATGAAATACCACTTACTTGCTTTGTGAGTATACTACTCACTTACTTGTTATAATGTGGCTTTGTGCTATGTGTATATGATGCCTTGGAGGCTTACTTGGTTATTGGAAATGATTGAGGTGAGGGTGTACTTGATCGCCCTCACCTCTTGTGATTTTATTCATGGCTATTGATTGTGTTTTACTGAAATACTGCACTGGATATATGAGATACTGCATTCCATTCATGGAAACTGATTTGGTGTCGTTGGACGAGTATCCAATGGCTTTACTGCATTTATGAGATCAACCCCGTATGGTAGTTAATTGGATCGAGCCGGCGAGGGCTTGGTCGTGAAAATTATCATGCCACGGGGACTGTACTGGGAACCTTGTGGTAATGAGACCCTTGGTTCCGGTAAACTCGAGTATTACCAAAACTACTGAAATGGAGTGCGGGCCGGTTGGGGTATGTTGGGTGGAAAGAAGTGGAAGTAAAGTGTGGTCTACGGTTTGGTACTTTTAACATTGACGGAGGGTCAATGAGGTTGGATCAAGATTGCAAGCGTGGAAATGGGCTCTTGAGAGCCGACCGTATCCTTTTACCGTTTTGCTTCATTGCTTATTTGAGCACTTTAAATGAAAGTTCATTCTTATATGACTTTGATTGCTTATTGGGTGGTATACCACTGGGCTTTAGCTCATTCCGTGTTATTTGTTTTCCTTACAGGCGACTGACCACTTTTGGAAAGGTTATGATAGTTGAATGCAAGTTGAGCTCATGTATATGTATTTTTGAATAGCTCCTTGAGGGTGAAAACCCTAAGTACTTTGATTCCACCAATGTTTGGTGTGTAATTGGCTACTTGGATATGTATGAACTAAATGGATACTTTGGTAGGCCGTTTGGCTTGTAAATGTTGATTTCCAATGTATATATATGTTTGGTTAGTGTTTGGATTGATTTCGGAATGACACGACTTTCAAACGGAAAAGGAAAATTTTTGCCGAGGATGAACAGTGGCGAATCCGGCCAGGAATCCGGCCAGAGACTGGCCGGATTGCAGGCCGGATTGCCTGGGGCAAAAATGGTATCCGGCCAGTTGCTCTCGGCCGGGTATCCGGCCAGACAATCCGGCCGGATCTTGCCGGATTGTGATGGAAGGAAAAAAAAAAAAAAAAAAAAGATTTTTGGGTTTTGCTCTCGGCCCAGTATCCAGCCGAGAATCCGGCCGAAAATCCGGCCGGTTCTGGCCGGATTCTGGCGGGCATTTTACTATTCATTTCGGCTTCGATTTACGTTTTTCTTATTTTGTGATTTTGGCTTGTTTGCGCGCAATGGTATGTTCCGGAACGTTATAGATTGACGTAAACTGTACCGTTAGTCCTGGCGAGAGCTGGGCAGGCAGTCCGCTAACCCCTCTGGTTCGCCTTAGGGGAAGGTGGGGCTGTCACAAAACACTTATAAACACATAGCACATAACATTTAGCATGTTCGACTAGATGCAAGAACCTAATAAAGCGGCAACACATAGCACATAGACAAACAATGAGCTAAAAAGCTTATTACATTTGCTAACTAAAACAAAAAGGGGAAAGGGAAGATGGACAAAAATGCTCGCCAAGCCCTATCTATTACAAGCCAAGAGGTGTACACATACCCCATAAAAGAAAAAACTTAATAAAGCAAAAGTAAATGAAAGGAATGAAAGGAATTAAAGAAATGTAAAGAAAGCAAAGTAGACATGCAATTCACACGTAGCACGTTGGATCACATAAGAGAGACAAAAAGATAAAAGAAATTATACCGCCCTTTTGTGGTGCTAATAGGGTGGACAAGACTTAAATGGCTTATTTATCCTCCAAAATAAAAGAAATGGTCAAGGTACCAATTTATTTGGGAAAATTAAAGAAAGTAGGCAAACACAAGCTCATTTAGACACAAAGTTCACCAATTCATGCAATTAAGCACCACCTTAACAAAACATGGTCATTAATGAAAGCAAACAAGCAATCGAGTTGAAAAATTGAGGCTACAAGAACTCAATTGTGAACATTAACCAAGCACTCAAGCCTAATTAAACATTTTAGGAACTTCAAGGGCCCAAGAGCAAATAAAAGGTCAAGTAAAGGTTAAAATGCAACTACTTCTAGGACCAAATTGCAAGCTACTAGAACTCAATTGAGTCTTTGTAGCATTGCTGCAAAATTACAAGGACCAAATTGAGGACATTATTCAATTGGTCGGGTCATAGTGACATAAGGGAGAACTTGGGGGTCAAAGTGCAATTTTATAAAGCTATTTGCATGCAAGTTACGTAGAAACAGTTTCCTCATTTCTGATTTTCATTTCTCTGCAACCCATTTGTGTTTCGACACCAACCGAAACATTTCCAATGAACATCAACCACAAAACACAAACTCTCCAATTATCCACCAAACCAATCATTCCACCTTTCTTGCAAAATCAAAAGCAAAAAAAAATCTGGAATGGTAGCTGCCAGAGATAAAAAAAAAGTAGAAACTGAATGCAACAAAAATTTTTCTGCAATTTCCAGTCAAGGTTGCTTCCGCAACTCTTTGCTCTTAAACTTTTGGACCAAATCAAATGCAATTCGCACAAAACGACAAGCCACCACCTGATCTATTCACTTTTCAATGCAACAAAAGAACCAATCAAGCAAAAGAAGCCTGCGAAATAACGAAGCCAATTTTCTGCTGCAACATTTCATACGCAAGCTTCCGCAATCTCAGCAGAACAGATTTAGACAATAGCTTTGAAATTGCTTCAATTAAAACATGGCTAAACAGCACTTAACAAAACAAATAGCTGGAAGAAATCCATGCAAAGTTGACATGCGAATA